ATTGATCAAGAAGTATTCCTCTTGCTGTTTAAAGACATGATTAGGCCACATTTAGGATACGGAGCCTCTGTCTGGTATAGGCAAAACTTGATGCTTGAGCTTGAGAAGGTCCAAAAAAGGGCCACAAAAAGAGTCCCTGGGCTAAGAAACCTACCGTATGAAGACAGACTCAGAACTCTAAAACTCCCAACACTGGTCTATAGGAGAATAAGGGGAGACCTGATCAATACGTACAAGTATATGCACGGTCTGTTTGACACACAGAACCTTTTCCACCAAAAAACGGAGACAAGAAGAAGATCTCACAGCCTGAACAAGAGCATTATTCTTCACAAGTAGAATGGCCACCTGGTGGAATAGTCTTCCTGGAGAGGTGGTTTCCGCACCCTCGGTAAATTATTTAAAAAATAGACCAGACAAGCATATGGAATACCACCCAGTTATGTACGACCATATGGCCCTGGACTGTCCGCACAGGCCAGGAATGACGATCCGGTGAAAGCGATGAGCAGCCTCAACGGGAAGAGACTTCCTACCTGGCTGAAAGGATCTACTTAATCTACTATATCTACTACTAGAGAGGGACTTGGGACCTAAAAATGACCTAACTTACATGTACATGGCCACAACCTTTTGCATCGTGGTTGTGGAAAAATATCGCTTTTAAAGTTTGTGTAGTGCACATAGTTGGGTCCTAGATACATCTATATATCTAAAATCACCCCCTATTATATATAACTTGTAATATAAAGCAGTTGTCAATGTTTATGTCTTTTGGAGGCTTGGAACTATTTCACCATACACATGCTGTTAAAATCATGAACAAGCTCACTGTAGTTGAATGTATGTTCAAAGGTTTCAACCTTTAAAGGCAACCTGTGCAGTAAGACAGGATTTCCAAAGTCAACTTTCTGACTAATACCTTGAATCAACACTATCCCATTGTCACACACCACTATCACACTGATATCTGAGGCAAAAAATATGATGTGGCTGACAGAAAACGGATTCCATTTTTTCATAGGCTGATTCTAGCTACATTGTATATAGTGTTGGACGCCGGTGTGTTACGCCTAAGGGCGGTTACATTTATACCGGCTATACAGATGATTAGCCTCCTTCGCAGTCTTGTTGGGCGTGGGCGTTATTTTTGTGAGGGACGCGAGTAATATGCGGCCGCGAGGGACGATTTGCTGCCGAGGGAGCGGGAAACCTTCTCTCCGTGGCAAAAACTCCCTCGGCAGCAAATCGTCCCTCCCGGCCGCATATTACTCGCGTCGCTCACAAAAATAACGCCCACGCCCAACAAGACTGCGAAGGAGGCTAACAGAGGATGGAGATGACGTTGTATGCGAATCATTTATCTAGAGAACGGAGTTGGTAATATGCACCAAAGCCATGGTGGACGGAGTACAGTGCAAATTTCTTCATATCAAAGCTAAAATGGAGAACTAATTAAACCTTAACTTGTCATGTCCCATCCGAATATTTTACTCCTGAAGCCTTGTAAATTGTTTACGCGACATTTTTGGCGGGAAAATTTGAAGGTCTAATTCTGTCCAGGTAAATGGCACATTTCAACAGGCGGTGACCATGTGGGCGGAATTTTCAAACAAAATATTTTTACCACAGTTTTTCGTCTGAAAATTATCCCATAATTTCTCAAAACCACTCGACAATTGGAAAGACATTCGGTACACCTCTGAAGAAATTGTTTACGCGACATTTTTGGCGGGAAACTTAGGTCTAATTCTGCCCAGGTATGGCACATTTCAACAGGCTTAATAGACCACGTGCACGTCGGCGGAATTTTCAAACAAAACATTTTTATCACAGTTTTTCGTCTGAAAATATAATTTCTCAAAACCACTCGACAATAGGAAAGACATTCGGTAGTCTCCAAAATCAACTCACGCATCAGATACATGCCCAGCAAAGAACAAGAAAATACTGTGTAAAATGGTCAACTACTGGAAACGGCGACTGGAAACCCGCTTAAAACTCGGAGATAAATGCGTAGAACCACACAAGTTTGCACAGAATATACGTAATTTAGGGTTACAACTTTGTTGGAAATACATTTAACAGGATGGTTCGTTGTCTTACCTTGTAAAGACGAATCTTCTTAACACCACGTGCACGCCGTCTTTCCCGACATGGCAGTCGCCATATTTTCCTTTCTTGTCCATAATTCCGACCTGGGTCAGAAAATACGAATGTTCTCACTCAACCATCCAAAGACCGGCGTAAAATCCACCACAGAAACATCCCCAAGACTTACTTCAGACGTTACGATAGAAATTTTTCCTTATCAAAAACGGTAAAAGCCGAAAACATGCATTTTGGGCGGGAAAATTTGAAGGTCTAATTCTGCCCAGGTATGGCACATTTCAACAGGCGGTGACCACGTGGGCGGAATTTTCAAACAAAACATTTTTACCAGTTTTTCTTCTGAAAATTATCCAATAATTTCTCAAAACCACTCGACAATTGGAAAGACATTCGGTAGTCTACAAAACCAACTCATGCCATCAAATACATGCCCAGAAAAGAACAAGAAAATGGTGAACTACTGGAAAGCCGCTTAAAACTTGGAGGTATTAAAATGCGTAGAACCACACAAGTTTGCACAGAATATACGTAAGTTAGGGTTACAACTTTGTTGAGAATACATTTATCGGGACAGTTCGTAGTCTTACCTTGTGAAGACAAGAATTCTCAACACCACGCCGTCCTTCCCGACATGACTCGCCATTTTCCTCTCTTGTCGAAATTTCGGCCCGGGTCAGAAAATGCGAATGTTCTCCCTCAAACATCCAAAGAACGGCGTAAACTCCACCACAGAAACATCCCCAAGACTCACTTCAGACGTTACGATAAAAATTTTCCTGAGCAAAAACGGTAAAGGGCGAAAATATGCCCCCAAAGTTGCACAGAAAATTCTAACAACAGCGTGCGTCTCACACGAGGTCGAACGGACTGTACCACCTGTCATTTGTACACAGGTGTCGGGTGTGCAAATAGATGGCCATAACTCAATTAACTTCCTCATCCAATCAAAATAGACCATCACTAACCCAGCAAAATGCTACCTTGATAGCGCTGTATACGTTTGATCCAAGTGCGCGTCAATAGTCCAAAGTAGTTACCTGTGCACCTTTGACATACAGCCAAAATGTCAGATTTCACGCGTCTGCAACCGATTTTTAGACCTGCGTTTCACTTCTTTCTTTTCTTGCCCAACACAATAAGCAGTTCTACCAATGACAACGTGGCAAGTAGTGGTTCGACCAATGAGAGAGCTTTAAAGTTTTTGTTTTGCATTTCTACATTTTGTGGGAGGGGCAATGAGATCGGCGGGATTTCAGACGATAAGAGTTTGGATACTTGTGCAACTGAAAGTAGTAAGATATCTCTTTAAATGGTTTTCCAGTAACTAACTTCCACACAAAACGTATCATCCTGGTCTTCTAATTGTTGTAGTTAATGCTGTCAAATGCAATGAAGCTTCCAACTGTTGTGGACATGATCCTAAATATACATTAAGGTTCATGTACAGGTGGTTGAAACTTTTAATGTTACAATGAGGTTGTCTTTGCTATAGTCACCAAAATTTAAAGTAAACATGTTCGTGTTTTAAAAGAAATGTACCTGCAGCCGTTAGCTTTCCTTTTATTATTTTCTAATTCATTAAATAAGCAAACACGTTCACAAATCACATCAATCATGAAAATATTCCTTTTTTTTAAATTTATTTGAAATTGCAACATGGCAATACAATGTTGCCGCCAGGCAGCTGATAGCTGATATTGCGACATCATATACAAATATACACAATAGACACATACATCATCATGTAATCACTTGTGCAATTCAGCCAAGCAATGCATATTGGCTGCCAATCAATGTGAATAAACAGTTTCAGTTTAAATTTTAAGACAAACATATACAATTGCGGGACCTAGCTTTCTCTGTCTAGTTTGCCGCAATATACAAGACAAACACGGATTTATTAATACATAAGTACATTGTCGATCAATCTACAATAAAAAATTAGATATAAGAAATACTAGGGTAACTAGAATTAAATAAACTAAATAACTAAAATATTCCTTTAATTCCTGGTACTAACTCAATTTAGGATCACAGACACAGTCCAACCTAGCCTGGTCGTGCAGGCACCAGTATTCAGTAAGGGGATGATAAACCGGTAATCTTCGAGTCTATCCCAGTATGTCAAAATGTAGAACCTAAGCATGCTGTCCTTACTTTGGGACCCATGGCTACCAGCTATTTACACATTTTACAGGTCACAAATAGGCATATAATTAGTGTGAAATTATTCAGGCACAGTACTGGTACGGAGGGATCATGTATTTTGGACCTAGCCTGTACCTACCAGTAATCAATTTTTCCGGTACAGTATTGGTACTGCATATCGCATCAGTACACAGACCTAACACTTAGTTTTACAAATTCTTTAACATACACGTAAACTTCTATACCGGCCTCTCTCTATTTCTAGAGGATAGGCACTAACTCTAATTTTGCTAATGGCTATAGTTCAAAATCTGCAATATCAAGACACCACTCTATGTTGTACATGGCTTTACATTTTGCGTAAAATCTTGACTTACTTGACTATCGGTTAACAAAGTATATGAAATAATGTTGGACTGAGAAAAGGTAAACGCACCTTAGTGATGCATACCTAAACACAATTTTAGGTTCAGGTCCGGATTCAAGTCCAGAGGTTTAGGTTCAGTTCCGGACTTGTATACATGGCATATACATGTATACAAATGTACATGTTGGCAACCTTGCAATGTTGTCTGGGTGAAACTTTGGCCACATGACATGGAGGCCGGTACTTGACGATACCTGATGGCAATGTTGTCTTCGTTTTTCAGCAAAGATTTTACAATCTACAGAAGGTTTTAGGTGGTTTGGAAAGAAAAGGGGTATGTGAAATGGTCTTTTATGGTAATAAGTCCGGACTCGGTTCTTGACTTTTAGGTTTTTTTTGGACTTGAACCTAAACATTCTTACAAGTCCGGATCCAAGTCCAGTGAACCGGTATGCATCACTATGCACCTTCCAAACTCTCTGCAGTGGCCTGTTCATCAATGTTGATAAGTGCCTGCTTCAGAACCTGTAGAGTAGCCTTCCTTCCCTCCCTGTTTCTCCACCTGTCCAGCACTTCTCTGCACCTGTGGTCTTGATCAGGCTGATCTGTCTTGATTCCTTTTATGTTGTTCTCGTTGAACCCTAACTTCCTGGCCAGGTCGTCCCACTTGTGGCTGACTTCATTGATGACTTTGTCAAAATATTTCTGCACATCAGCTGTAACGTTTAAATGAATATAACCAGTATAATGTGAGTGTAGGTATGAAGTATGACATTTTAGTGGGTTTTTCTTCCATTGAATAATGTCATTTGCACTGTTGTAGATGCTGGCATTTGTTAACCTTCTAAAGCACCAAACATTAAGGCTAGAACGGCAGTTAACTTAGAGCTACTAAAAAAACATCTGGACTCCATCTGTAAGCAGGAAGGATCTCTCCGTTACATTTTCTCAACAAGTAAAATGAGTTAATGGTAAGGCAGGCGAGTGTAGGTATATTTGTAGTAATTGTAGGTGTCCAAGGTTTCAGGTGTTTGGTTAGATTTTAGAGGCTAACAGCAACTTGCTAAAGCTTATTGTTGTGATTAAAAAAGCATATGGATAAAATGAAATATTCCAGGCCACTAGGTCGTCCCACTTGTGGCTGACCCCAGGATGATGGATTATGATGTCCAAACCTCATTCCCACATCTGATGTTTGTAACTGACTGATGAAGTTTCGAATTGGCGCATTTTTAACAAGAAGAAAAAGGCATACTCGTATGTTTCTATCTGGGGACTTTTATATATATATATATATATATATATATATATATATATATATATATA